GTTATTGGTTGGTGATTAAAATTATTACGATAATAAAACAGCCATCCCCACAGGCCTAGCATCAAGTTAATCATCCGCGCAAGACGATTCTGGCCTCCACTCGCCTGCGAAAGACCTCCATTTATATCTCCTGAACCCTTTCTAACCCCCGGATAACCTCATCAGACGATATAAACATTACTCCTTTCCTGAATACGGCGTGCATTGCCATATTAATATCCATAAGAGTAGACATCCGGTAGAACAAACATCTCCGATAATCGTGCAGTGAGTGCTCACGCAAGCTTGCATGTCTTGATCAGTATGTCTTAATTAATGCGTGAGCAAGTTCTATAATTATTTCTACTAGCTCTGCTAATCACACGAAACGAATAGAACATCCATCAAACAATTCTAACGAGTAAAACCGAAAGCATAGGAAGCGGTTTCTCTCACTAAAAGTCTGGCTGCGGTCTTCCATAATTGACCTGACTTGTCAAGGAACCATTGATGAAAAAATACTTATTTAGTAAGATTGTATTATTGATAATTCACTCTTGCCTCCTTCTAGTCTCCACCTCCCCCAACGCCATGATAAACTCTTAGAAACTGTTGCATATTCGATCAGATGACCTGTTATCACCTAGTACTGTCGATCCCTCTGCTAGATATTACACATATGTTGTAAACATTCCATCGTGCGTGGAAACCGACAAACAATGTCATCACTAAACTCCGAAACTGATGGTTTAATAGATGCACTTTTGCAATCGAGCACAAAGAGTCCTGAAGAGATTACCGAGGTTTTAGGCGTATTAAGCGTTGCTCTTGATGGTTTGTAATACGAGAATGAATCTTGGTGCGTCGTTGAGACTTGCCGAACATACTGGTGATACGCTTGACTGTCTCTTAAATCTTACCTCCCAGGTCCACGAGGCCCACAAGTGACTCAAGCAGTGTTATCTGCAGTTCCACTCCCAAACTTTTTTACTTTTCTCGAGAGTCCGAGCGAATCTGTTATAAACGCGGCTGGAATTGTATTGGAGAAGTTATTAAGAGCCGTTACCTATGCTGATACTATTTCTTCAGAACTAAAGGTTACACGATATTTGGGTTCGATCCTTTTTTTTTTTCTTTTTTTTTTTTTTTTTTTTTAAACTGTAAATTTATTTATTCTTGTCGACAGGTTCAATAGCTACTAACGTGTTGATTATCATTCCTATAGTAATGACACATTGAAATTCCGTGTCATTGATTTACTCTCGCGAATAGCAAATATTTCAGACGAAGCCTTTCATCTATGCGAATCATCCGGTGCTCTGTACAGTGTCGTGCCCATTTTTCACTCTAACGATATACTACTTAGACTCAATGCTGTCGAATCCTTCATTCAGGTATATATTTATTTTTTTGATTAAAACTTTTTGTCACCGTCGTTTATGAGTAACTTTAACTCTATAATTCAATAGACATTTCTGTATCCATCGTGCTGTATAGGTTGCCGAAACTCCGACCGGATACTTGTTTCTCAAACGAACGCGAATAATAGAATCGCTCATCGACATGCTGGCGTTAGACGAAAACGACGTAGTGAGCGTGTTGTTGAAATGTGGTGCAATCAAGTTTTTTGGACGTGTTGAGGTAATCCAAGGTTATTATGAGCGAAGAAATGAAACAAAAAATCTTACATATATGTGTCGGCGATCCCGTGATAGGCAATCGAATTCGAAGAACTTGCGCGGACGCACGAATTGATCCCAATTGCTGGAAAGTGATAACTTGGAAGTGAAAGTAAATAGATTCCGATTGTGTTGCGTAGATTTTGGAATATAATTTTCGGTTTCTCCGATTCTCGTATACCGAATTTAATTTGCTAATTA